GATACATGTAGTGCTCCCCTTGCACCTGAAAATATTTGGCTGTGCCCCCAAACCGAATTTGCTTCCTACAGGCTGGAAAAGCAATAATATTTATTGGTATAATATGCTACATTGTTTTATTATACCCCTACTGTTATTACTCTAAATAACATAAATACCACAAAACTGTCTTTTTCCCCTTGAAGAAACTATCATACTAGATTATCTGAGGACAACTCCCTGCGGGAATACTCCCTCATGAATACTGGGTATTTATACATGTAAGTATGTTGTTATGAAATGGGTTCGAGGGAAAAAGCAAATTTATGCCTCCGCAAGGGAGGAAACTATTTCCCGAGGATGCAAATCCGCCAAAGGAAATAGTGCCCTGCCGATGGGGAACCATAGAATATTCCATTCATTGTGTAAATGTAAAATTTCAATTTAATTTGATTAATTTTTCGTGGTTGCAGAGGAAAATATGGTATGGATAAGAGTCAACATGCAGGAATTTATTGTGTTTTGCTGATCATCTTTTCCCAACATATATCATGCAGCGTAAGTAGAAGAAATACAGAGAAAGGAATGTTCATTTTTTCCATATCCAGTCGTTTTAAATGCCTGGTCTTATATCCTTTGAAAAAAATAAACAAGAGGCTCATCTGAGTATCAACTCTTCTGCACCAGATTTCCTTCTTTGTAATAAGTATTGTGTCCCTCCCTTACCGCGGGGGTCATGATTTGAACAATTTAGAATCTATACTATCCCCAGATGCTTTGAGTCACATTTCTGTAGTTGATATCTTTTATGATAATAATATTATATTTCTAATATATCGATCCATATAAATTCCAACATATCTGGCCCGGTTGTTCTTCAGAAAAAATTTAAAGATGTTCACTACATATGTATATATTTCAATATAAAACTTTGATTTCTCATGGTGGCCCCAGCCTAACCCAGGGGGGCATGATTTTCACAATTTAAGATCAACACTATCCCAGAATGCTCCCAAGCAAGTATAAGCTTTTCTGTCCCAGTCGTTATTGAGAAAAAAGACTCTTAAAGATTTTTCTGTATATTTCAAACTTTGATTCGCCCTTGTTGCTACTCCCTACCTCCGGGGGTCAAGATTTGAACAATTTAAAATCTACACTATTCCAGAATGCTTCTAAAATTATAAGCTTTTCTGACCCCGTGGTTATTGAGAAGACATATAAGCAAATATATACTTTGAATATCCCATCTACTCAGAAACCAGAGAACAATACTACCTTAATAGTACCGACACATTTTAATTCTAAAGAATACTGCATTGTCTATGCTTTTTAGACCCTAAACTACATGCAGTGTCGTTTTTTGACAGAAAGACAGAAACATGCGTGTAAACTACATCTTTACATTTTTTCACAGACTTGTGGTTTAAGTCAATTTACCTATTATTTTCTTCTAAACTTCAAACTATTACATGTAATTATGGTCCTTCAAGGCTGTTTATACTCAATAATACGCGTGGATTATCAGCGTTTACAATTGTGTATAAAGAAATGCACATCAAACTTGTATACTCGGGAATACATGTAGACCTAGCGAAATGCCCACCAATTACAAATGCTTTACAAAACTTTCAAAGATTACGAAGCTTACCTCTGCAAATGTTATCAATTTTAGATGTTTAGGTAATGCAAATCTCACGTAATGATTTCTTAATAGCTGGTTCATGTATTTATTCTGAAAACAATATCCATGATTGTTCTGTTTACCTAAGTCTTAAAGTTTTCGAAAAAGTAGATCGGATCCAGCTTTCGAAACAAGTCTCAATTATCCATCCTTTGATGCACCATCCATGCTAGTTAAATCATAATAGGCCTAAAATGAAAGGGCTACTCAAAAACATTACATTGGTTACTGATCTGAAAATAAAGGCCAAATCCAGCATCCGAAGCGAGTCTAGTAGTGCCCATCCCCAGATACATCATCCCTACAAGTTTGGTATGGGTAGGGCTTATAGTTACTTTGAAATTGACCTGCTCCAAAACGTTAACCTGGTCGCTCAACTGTAAAGTGTAAGTCAGATCTAGCATATAAAGCAAGTCTAGTACTGCCCATCCCTAGATGCATCATCCATTCAACTTAGTTCAAGTAGGGCTCATAATTACTTGGGAATGGATCTGCTTCAAAACCTTTAATGTGGAAAATTTAGGTCGCATCCAGCATCCGAATGAAGTCTGGTAGTGTTTACGTTCATCCCTAGATGTGTCCGGGTATGAGAAGGATATGGAGATAACAAATAGTATTCAATCTCAAAGTCCATAAAACAATACAAATTAAGAGCAGAGCAAACACGGATCCCCGAAACATCAGAGGTGGGATCAGGTGCCATGGAGGAGTGAGCATCCCCTGCCGACCGGTCACACCCGCCGTGTGCCCCTTGTCATGATCAGGAAATAACGGGAAAAATCCGTCGTCAATTCAGTGTATAAATAATGGACTAACAATTGGTATGAAAAACGTCAGTCAGCATTTGACTCAATGATAAATTGTTTTTGCTGACAATGTCATTGTATCGACCATAGAACTTACGAAATAATGACTCAAAACGTAACTGCGGATATTTTTGTTTCATTAACATGCTTGTCAATTATTTACCTAGTTTCAGAAATTGTTCATGCGTAGAGCATGCTCTTGCGTATCGAATCAAATGAGATATATATATCCGTATGTAGATGATGAAGGTATATATAGATTGCTGCATAAGTAAGGGAAGTTGACGATAGAAAGGTTAAAGTCATCACATTTATCATATAGTTTGGTTGTTAGATTACCATTAGCGTCTTTTTCAAGTAAACTATGAAATATGAAACAGATGTATCAGACTCTGTGGTATCTTTTATCTCAAGCTGACCAGGATTTATCGTGTCGACGAAGGAATGGAAATTACCATTGTTAATTGACAATACGTCGTCGATATATCTAAATATCGAGTTGAAGGCCACAGCAAGTGTTTTTTTTCTTTTTCATGCATAAGATTTTTAATAAATTCTGCTTCATATATATATATATGAATATAAAAATAGTCTGCTAATAATGGGGCAATTTGTACCCATGGCAATTCCGATAGATTGTTGGAATACCTGGTCTCCAAAAACCACATAGATATTGTCAATCGGAAACTCAAGCATCTTCTTGATGTCAACTTCAGAGTATTTATGTGAGCAATCAGAATCTGTTTTAGCAAAATAATTGTGCAAATGACCAGTGACGAGGTAAGTAAAATTACGAGTTCCATTTTTATTAAAGAAGCAGCTGTCTATGATATCAAAAAGCCTGGATTTTAATTTGTCGTGGGGACTTGCTATGTATAAAGTTGAAAAGTCGTAGATTTTTGAGCTGGTGATTTTTGTAAAGTCTTGTGATTTCAAATTGTCCAAGAGTTCTTTAGAATATTTAAGTATCCACATATGATTCACGTCACTTCTTGAATATATAGGTGCGCATTATTCTTGAAGTTTTTCCTTCACTACTGTCAATATCTTAGTGAAGAGTAACGAAAGAGGCATTAGTTGGTAGAACATTTACAGGAACCTGCAATGTATCTTTGTTTGTCAGGATTCCTATGAAATTTCGGAATCCAATATATATAGGGTAGTTCAATTTCATTTTGGCTCTGTGGAATATTAAAAGTATTCAAAACTGACACGTGCTTTTGAAGAATTTCTTTCTTAGAAAGGGAAGTATGAGTATAAGTGGGACTATCATTTGTAGAATTAAATCCAAGTTCTTCTAGAATGCAATTTATATAATGAACCTTACGAACGAAGACAATGTTGTTACCTGCTTTGTCGGCAGGAACTAGTACGTACTGATCATGTAATCTATCCAATGTATGACTTATGGTTACTTGGGAATGACTTGCTCCGAAAACTTTAACCTAGGACGCCGACGCCAACGCCGGTTGTGTAGCATTAGCTCATCTCGACATTGTTCGAGATGAGCTATAAATTAATACCATGATACGATCGTGTTCCTTTTATATAAGGTTATGTTGCATGTATTTTGAGAACTCTATGTGTTTCGGGCAAAAAATATGTATTTGTAAAACACTGATGCCTCCGTGTGGCCACATAGCAAAGGTTTTTTTTTTCAAAAAGAAATTAAAATGTTGATACCCAAGAAATACTTCCTCATCACAAGAAATACAAATGTGAAATAAAAACCCCTAGCACCACCTGTTCAAGTTTCATGGCCAAACTCCAAGATCGAAAACAATGGGTCAAATTAGTTGGTATTCAATAAAAGGTATTGTCATCAGAAATATATTTGGGATGTATGAAAGCTGTAGCACCAATTGTTCAAAAGTTATTGCCAAGATTAAAGTGTTTCAAAGTAGATCAAACTCCAATTCAAGGTAAAAAAGTACAACGTTGTTGGTATTCAGTGAAAGTACTTGTCACAAAAAATGCATTGTGAAGTACGAAAGTCCTAGTACCCACTTTTCAAAAGCTATGACCAAAGTAAAAGTTCGGAAATTAGGTGTAAAAGAGAGTCAGTCTCTCAGGTCAAGGTCAGGAGGTCAATCTGATGGTACCCAAGGCAAGGTCTTGCCACAAGACATACACATATGAAATAAGAAAGTCATAGTCTAACCAAGTCAAGAGTTATAGGCAAGGTTAAAGTTAAGATTTTGCGGACAAACAGACAAACAGAAAGTCAGAGAAAAAAATGAACAGAACAAAAACTACTCATAAATATATAAAACTGAATCCAATCGTTGCTTTACTTGCGTGTCGCATATTTTGTACATTTTTACTTGAAAAAATACACTAGTAGCCTATATTGCTTTACTGATTGTTTAACTGATACTAGAATAAATGGACAGTTATACTTTCAGACAATAAACAGATGCCCAGAGCCTCGGACGTTTGCAAAACCTGTTGCCAAGTGTCCTTTTTATAAAGAAGAATGGAAAAGAGCATCAGAGAAGAAGAACTGTGAATCATTGTCAAGGAATTGTAAGAAAATACGCTTATCACTGTCTAAAGGATGAGTGGTTAGATAAAATGTACGAGGTCTGTGCGCCACCAGTTGTCATAATCGGTATTAATTCTTAATAATCAGCGTCAATATGTATCTTGTGCAAGAAAACATATGTCAACATGAAAGATAAATTATATGTACATGCCTGAAAATTATTATAACATGCTATTCACCAATCTTACAAGAGAGTATAATTTAATCTTAAATTTGCTTATTCATTTACTAAATGCTAGTATCTGACATCATACAGTATGCAAGATGCAACATAACTGTGTTGAAATACAAAGTACGAGGCATAATATGTGATAACAAGTGCCTTATCTACATCAACATACGAGTTGTATTCCTTTTTAAAATTTTGATATAAAAGAATGTGTACTAGGTAAAACAAACGATGAATATGTTATAAATAGATCTTCAGGTTTTTATGCAACATGTTGTCTGTTTTCTATCCCTTGCCAAGGCTCAGATATGAAAAAAATCAAGTAAACAAATTGTTTCATAAATATTAATATATACTCAGTTTATTCGACCACAAACCATTTGAAATCCTATAAATTCCAAAAATTTCTATAAATAAGAATAAGAAAATATGTTAAAGAGAATATACAAACTATAACAAAAAATAATACTTATCTCTTTATTATTTTTTCATTCATCATATACTTTGCAAAAATTTATCTGCTCAATTCTTATCTTTTCTATGAATTGATATTCAATATATATTTATAAATGGCCTCAGTAAAATAAAGTTACTTTCTTAAATAGAGGATTTTTATAGTGTAAATGTAAATTCATCTCTCATATTTTTACGAACCAAATAATTTCATTGATAATGAATACCGTAATGTATTTATTTATATGAACCTTTTTAAATATACTTCAAGGTTGCTGTCCAGAATACAACACAGCCGGTGACGTCATACAGGGAAATTTTCTAATTGATTGTACGAAGTTTCATGTTCCGTGTCCAAAGGTTTATAATTCAACAGATATTTACAAATGTGAGCGATGCACAAACATATTTACAGGAAATTAGACAGTACACTGCACGGTTAAATACAGCGACTCAACTATAATTTTATTTTATTTATCACTTAATTTGTGTTGAAATAATTAAATACAATGGAGAAAAAGGAGTACAACATTTTTTAAATCGTTGATGATAGTTTATGATTCAAAATTTGTTATTAGATCAGAAATGCTATGGAATCACAACAACTATACTGGTAGAAGAAATATTGTCCGATGATGAAGACTCTGATAAACAAATTATGAATCCAATTTCAGCAACACAAATACCAACATTTTCTTTATTACTAAGAAAAGAAATAAGGGAGAAATCGTAAGTGTTTAAGGAATTTCATTTATCTGCTTGCAATATCGAAAAGTTTAACATGTAATGTTTCTGAAATGATATAAATATAAAAGCGAGAGGATTTCCTAGTTCCCAAAAATTGTAAAAATTTATTGTGATTTGGGTCTTTTTAATTTGAACAAATTCAGTTTTACTTGATCTCGTTTAACATTTTATATAGAAATAAAGGCCAGAGCGCTTGCAACGTGTTTGGAAGGTCGTGAGTTCGAATCTCGACCGCGAGGGGCCTAAGACATAACAAAGGGTAGCAACGTTTCATTGGCACTTTGAAGTGAAAATTGGTCAAATGAGAACGTCAAATAAATTGTGATCTGTGTCACTGTAGACGTTGGTACTATCCCTCAGATAGTGAGATCCCCCACTGCTCAATTGCAGTATAAGTGCTTAGTAAATGTCAAAATCGTAAGACCTTCACTTGTGATGTCCATATATGATTGAAATATTCTTATATGGGACGTAAAACAACATACAAGAAGTAAATTAACAAAAGGAAATCAAGCTCAGATGCTTGGTGCATTTAAATGCATTGAGATGTGTATATATACTCAACAAAAAAAGAAACGCATATTGTTTTAGTCTTCAAAGAAATTTTTAAAATGTACATGAAACAACTATGTTTTATTTCATTGGATACCTGTGACCTATTTGAAAGACAACATGGGGTTTTAAAACCCAAGTGTTTAATTATGTCCCTTGATTAAACATGTTTATGAAAGTAGTGTTTTTCATGATTTCTTCTAAATCGGATGTTTATTTTTCGTTGATATTTGGGATTTAGAGAAAATTTTGATACTCCTATTAAACCCATATTCAAGATTTGATTGCAGTGTTGATACTGCAATGCCAAGCCGAAACAAAGATGAACACAACCAGGCTAAGATGATACTAAACGGAGCTACGCAACAGGAAGTTGCAACTGTATTTGGAATAAATTAATGGGCTTTGCAACCGTTAAACTAATATCTGAAGACCACTATCTGGCCATCTCCAGGTGACCAAATCCAGGCAGACCGTCAGACCCCCTTTCAGCACTTCATGCGATTCAGAACCTGTTGTAAAAACTTCTGCTACAATTGCTGGATGAAAAAATCAGCGTAAAAGTGCATAAATTGTTCGCAAGAGACTGAAATGAGATCATAGTATTCGTAGATATCCGTACATTGGAAACCCACTAGCATTGAGACGTCGCACAGTACATATTGTTATTCCCCTTGAATTTGGGGGCGATGAAAATGACATCAATTTGACTTTTCAATTTGCAACAAAGGACATGTTTGATTTTTATCACAAAAATCGCTTAAATAAAAGAAGGTTTGAACTGAAAACTTAGATTTTCATATTATTCTGATTATGCGTTTCTTTTTTGGTTGAGTATATATTTGATTGCCAACCAATGACTCACTCCTACAGAAAAGATCAACATATTTCATACAAATAATGCATTTTTCAGCATTCAATTTATTTTTTTACAAGTCGATTGCATCTTGAAATTTTAAAAATACATCATTGGGGTATTCTTTCGTTTGCTGATATGTAAAGTTATTTCAAAAACATTTGTGCATTTTTTGTAATTCTAAAGTATTGCTACATTGTATTTTTCTAATTGCAGAGTTGAAGGAACGCAGTCCTTTAAGTTGATGCTTTGGAAGTCTTTGGGGTTGATGTTTCTTGTGATTTTTTCAATCCCTTTTATTATCATCACAGTCTTCAAAGAAAAAATTTACAAAATAAAAAATGTGCTTCAAAATGTATGCCTCAGAATAAAAAAGAAGCACTAATTACAGGACTTATGAGCAGAAAAAGGCAGAATAAATATTTTTCATGGATTTTTTTTAGGAATGAATGGAAAAAATTGCATGTGACAGACTATATATTGTACGTTTTAAGGGGGCCGATTATATTTTTATTGTGTGAAAACTACAATATTGAAAGTATTCATTTTTATACCATATATATATAAGTTACATTAACTTCAATGTACATGCAAGGTATGGGGGAAATCTACCGTCCAGGTATTTTTGAGGGACCGTCTCAAAATACAGGTACATTTACTATAGGATTATATAGGAATATCAGTGCCAATTTTTAGCACTTTAAAGCAAATTATTCAAATACTACAATAGACATTTTGTTCAAAGTATAATATTTGATAAGTAATACTATATTATACAATATATGTAAGAAACACAAAATTATACCGTCTTGTTACCAGAGGGGGCATCTCAAAATGCAAAAAAAATAAGCAAATTTTATTATTTTTATAGACTGAGTATTTACAAAATATGACGTACACAATAGATTCACACGGAGATATTCTCAAATTTCTATGTTTTAAATTTCAAGAGTGTATGTTTATTACTTTTTCTTTAATAATAATTTTTTACCCCTTTCTTTAAGAGCTACAGATTATCATAACGTCAAAAACACACTGCAACGACGTCAACCAGCCTACTTATAATTTCTTAATTTTGTTTAATTTTAATAATTAAGTGAAAAAATGTTGCATTAAAGCAGTAAATACGCTTAATTTTACTATGAAATATTGCGCAATGGAAATCATAGTCGGCCCCCTTAATGTTAAAAGTACATAAAATCAGCATGCATACAATTTTATGTCTCATAAAATGATTTATATACAATCTTTTTTACATTGTTTTTGACAAACTTAGATTAAAATTGCAGTTGTTATTGATTTTTTATGTAAAAAGAGTGGGGTCGACTGGATCGGGATGAACTCATGTTTGGATCGGGTTCGGTTTGATCGGGATCGAGTGCTCAATTAATTTGATTTCATACAAACATGAGGTCGGAATCAATTTACCGCTATACCTCCCCATCCTCCTCCCATGTAATACCAATATTTGAATTTTGTTGTATGGAATTTTTTCCTCATTGTATAACATCAAGCATTTACCATGCCGTGTGGCCTCTTTGTTTACGCCACCTTCTTGTTACACAAACTTTGTAATCATTATGATTATATAACAATAGCTGGGATAAGCACTAAGTCGCAATATATCATATCTAAGTTGAAACTTATCATTAGTTGGCCTTATCCCAGCTATAATTTACATGATTGTATGTAATATTGTATATTTATGTGTTTTGTTCACTTTCGTCATTAATTTGGTCAATAAATGACATTTTCACTCAATTCAAGTTCTCGTATCTTCACTAGTTTTCAAATAACAAGAACAAGCTACGGAAAGGTTTTCATATTGTGAAAGTTACTTTTATTAGTGGAAAAGTTGTGGATATAAATGCGTATTTTTACATTGCTAGAAAATCTATAAGATCAATAACAACAACAGGGAATATTTGGAGGACTATATATTTGGTATCTGTTTAGAATGAAAACTGTATGAAAATCATATATGATTGGTTTTCTCATACACTAGTACGTATATGATCAGGTTATTCTCTAAAGACAATTAATGTTTTCAACAGTATAGTTCTTAAGTTACTCATAAATTTAATGGGAATATCAAATCTAAAACACAAATACAGTGTAAAATATATTGTAGCAGATGAAATCCATTTATCTGGAAGGATACAAAGATAACAAACAGTATTCCATCTCAAAGCCCATAAAACAATACAAATTAGGAGCAGAGCAAAGAGGTACACCCGAAACATCAGAGGTGGAATCAGGTGCCATGGAGGAGTGAGCATCCCCTGCTGACCAGTAATAACCGCCGTGAGCAGCTGTCAATGATATCAAAAAGCCTGGACTCAAATTTATCGTGGGAAATGGTTGTGCATAAAGTTGAAAAGTAGTAAGTTTTTAAGCTGTTGATTTTGGTTAAATCTTGTGATTTCAAATTGTTCGAAAGTTCTTTGGAATTTATCAACATCTGATTCACACCGCTTCTTGAATACATTGTTGCACAGTAATCTTGAAGTATTTTTTCACTACTGTCAATATCTTAGATAGGAGTAACGAAAGAGGCTTGGTTTAACATTTACCGGAACCCGCAATGTATCTTTGTTTGTAAGGATTTTTATGAAGTTTCGGAATATATATATATATATATATATATATATATATATATATATATATATATATATATATATATATATATATATATATATATATATATATGATTGCGCCCATGACAAAAGGGCCTTATGGCATTTTTGCTAGAACAGAGAAGGGAACGTTTTCATTTATAATTTAATTTAAACAATATCTGAATCTCGCAATCCACTGATTTTAATATATATAAATGAAAATATTAAGAACTGGTTTCTTAAAAAACATATCTATTATACGTCTCTAGCCCCATTTAACGTACAGTTTTCCTACATGACTGTCTGACATCTTCGCTAGCGATCGCCGAAGATGAGAAGCTGTCGACAAGGTGCTTTTCTGATAGAATAATCAACCTGAATACTCTAGATAGATAAATCTTATTTACATATTTATATCAGATTTAAGATGCATGTTAGACAGGGGTATATTGTTAAAATATTGCAAAGAAAGTGTAATGAAATAGAATAATCATAGTGGATTGAAATGCCTTTGAAATAGTCCAATCGAATCATTTTATATTTGACCAATCAGCGCTTGATATTACAGCCAATCAGAGTTTCAGAATTATCAACCAATCATTAGGAATTAGAAAGAGTATAAATACAGACACCCATGAAGCAATTGGTTACTTGGTCGTTACTCATTGTTTGAGTAACACCTCTTGGACTAGGTTCTTGCGCTGTGTCGGGAAACAACAGAATTGTTAGTTAAACCACTCAGCTCAGGAACCTAGTTCCTTAATAGTGTGTCTCAGTGACTATAGTGTCTTGGTGACTTATTTAATATAGTGTCTTGGTGACTTATTTAATATAGTGTCTTGGTGACTTTTAATAAAGGTGTCTCAGTGACTTTTAGGGTGTGCTTTTTAGGTAGTTGCAGACTGTGTCGGGAAACAACAGGATTGTTGGTTAAACCACTCAGTCTGCAACTACAGTGTTATAACTTCATATTTGATTATTTGCTTGATCGTTAGTGATTCAATTGTGGTTGATTTTTTTCTTATAATTCGTTGTCGTTAAGCTCATATTTGTTTGCTAATCATTTATCCAGATAGGACCGAGGAAAAAGTATATACACATAGTGAATTTCAGTCAGTTTCTTGTTATAGTGCCATTGTTGTTGAAGTTTGTTTGATTCATATCATAAACGTGATACTTAGGAAGGAATCCTAAGCGGACCTATTAAATAATTATTAATCATTTGTACTTTGTAAAAACGTTACAAATTTGGTGGCAGCGGTTTTAGGAATATTACGTTTATATATTTTGTATCATTTGTTGATCTATTATTTGTTTTCATTTTGTGGGCATATTGTAAAACATGGCTGACAAGGACATTACCGACATTGACAAAGAAATAACATTCATAGAGCAAAAGTTACAAGAGTTGAAAAATGACAGTTTAAGCATTCACAATGTAAGTTTAGCCAAGGATACAAGTGCTAATAAAACAAGTACCCCAGAAGTTCGATCAGATACGAAATCAAAAGATTCAGGTTTTGCATCAGGGAGATTTTCTGATATAGACTTTCACGGTGATGTTAAACAGAAAAAGCATCCCTTAGGAAAGGTTTCTTGGGAAAATGAAATGTTGTTTGGTACAAGTAGTGTTCCTTCCGATGAGGGCAAAAGACCTGGTTATTTAATGTCAACACCAGTCTCTGGAAGTGCAACAGAGTCAAACATTACTAATCGCCGAAAGGATCGTCGATTTAGTAGACAAGATACAGAGACCGATATCATAACGGCAACGGAGAAGAAACCACAGACCCATATAAAACCTGCAACATTTGATGGTACTGGATCCTGGTTAGATTATCGTTCCCATTTTGATGCATGCGCCATGTTGAACAAGTGGACGGAACTAGAGAAAGGTTTATATTTAGCAGTTTCCTTAAGAGGACAGGCTCAGGGTGTACTGGGGAATTTGCCTAACACACACAAGCATGACTATGTCTTACTTGTGAATGCATTAGAGGAGAGATTTGCACCTTCAAATCAAAATGACTTGTATAGGACCCAGCTGCGAGAACGCCGACAACGAGCAACGGAAACTTTACCAGAACTGGGACAATCCATAAGAAGACTTACAAGCTTGGCATACCCAACGGCGCCAAGAGATGTGCAAGAAACGCTGGCAAAAGAACAGTTTATTGATGCTGTCCTAGATTCTGACATGAGATTGAGAATTAAACAGGCAAGGCCATTAAACCTTAATGATGCTATTCGACATGCTGTCGAATTGGAAGCATTTGTTAAATCTGATCGTAAAATGTTAGAAAAACAAATCCACTTACGACCAATGCAGTCAGAAAACACTGAGGGAAACAAGAAAGCCATAACAGATCAGATCAGCACAAGTATATTGGTAGAGCTGAAGGATGAAATAAGAAAACTTCGTAAAGAAGTTAATGACATGAAAGTGAAGAATTCCCAGGATGTTGCATACAAAAAGAAATCTGGAGCTACCAGCAACAGACGCTGCTATTTGTGTGGATCTCCAAACCATTTCCGATATGACTGTCCACAAGGTTATAGAGCTCCACAAAATGCACCATCACAAAGAAAATATTCACATAGTACAAAGAAACATCCTGTACAAAACACATTTAAATGCATCACGTCTTATAAAGCTCAAGTTAATTGGGGTATACCAAAATGACCCTGAGGCTGGAATGTACTTGAAAGCTACCATCCAGGGGATTGAAGCGAATTTCCTTGTTGACACAGGAGCAACACTATCAGTACTGTCAAGTAAAGTTTATGAGGCTATACAAAACAAACCAGTTTTGTACAAAACCGATCAAATAGTCTCTTCCGCATGTGGGACCGACTTAACTGTGA